ATCAGCTCTTTTTGATTGTCCCCATTCCACATGCCGCTGCCTCTTTGCTCTGCTTCTGGTCCGATATTGAAAACAAGTCAAAACACCCGCTGCTATCCTCTCCCATGTGTGCCCCACTTTCACCCTCTTTCTGCCCCTCACTCCGATGCACTTGTTCCACTCATGCATCACCATTCGCAGCCGTCGCTCCTCTCCCAGCCATCGCCTTTCTCCCATCCGGCAGCCTCATTGATGGCCTCCCTGCGGCTCTCCTCTCCCATGTATGGCCCCCTCAGCCTCTTCCGTATCCTCTCCTTTTCGTGCATGCTTGTTCTTCCTCCTCCCTTTGTGTGCTCTCTGTCTCCAGTTCCCTCTCTCTGCCTTACTTCTCTCTCATGCGTTGCCCACAATTGCACCTCACCCTTTCCCATCTGCATGCGCTGTCCCGCCTTTGCCATGCATATGCTGTCCATTGTTACGGGCGTTTGGCGTTTGCCATAATATATTGATCGACCAACCAGAATATGTCGATGTCCTAGACTTTTCCAACCTACGCTCCTCTTTTGCAACTGTGCTGGAATAGAAGGACATGAAGAAACACAAAAGCATGGGTCGAATCTAGAGTCTGATCTCACATTTTCATCCTCCCCCTCTCGTTCCCCACATTCCTCACTCCCACTCCCCGAACTCCTCTCTCCCACCAACTCCCTCGTCTTTTCTTGCACATTCCCTGATTCTTTCGCCCCTTGTGCAGTGTCAACCCCGGCAGCTGCCAGCTGTCGCGCTCTCATTCGTGGACCGCCACTGGAGTGGCAGCTCCCCAGGTACCGTGCGAGGCATGGCATGGGTCATGGGGGAACTCGTGACTGCGTGTGCTGCTGGTGGTGCCGAAGCGGGTAGGGGAGCAGGACAACAGACAGCAGCAGCAGCAGCAGCAGGAGTTGAGGAGGGGGGTAAGGCTGTGAGGGAGGCTCTGCTGAGGGCAGGCGCCGTGTGGGCAAAGCAGTGGAGTGCTGTGCCGGCAGAGCATGGGAACGGAGCTGCTGAGCTTTATGTATGACGTGGAAGGGACTACAGTGGGAGAGGGAGGGCTGTTCATGGTGCGAGGCATGGCATGGCTCTTGGGACAAATGGTGCCGGCGTGTGATGGTTAAGGCCATGCGGGGAGGCGTTGACGAGAGCAGGAGGTGTGTGGCCGAAGCAGCGGTATGCTGAGTCTGCAGGGAATGCGGACAGAGCTGCTGAAATATATGCTTGCAGTGGAAGGTGCTGGGGTGAAAGTTGAAACCTGTTTTTTTTAGATTATAAAGCCCATGGTGGTACGACGAACATTGAAACAAGCCGTCGCAAATATTGACACCGACGTACTGTTTTTATCTCGAGGGTGCTTCAGACGAGCAAACGCGGACGATGACAAATGTGAGCGACATGGTGAATGTGGGTGGTGTGTAAATGATTATTGGTTCCCATCAATCAAATCTACCGTAGGGCGTGGGTTCGTTTTAGCTCAACATACCCAAACATTAGCTGTTTAGAACATACATCGCATCTTACCTTAGCAGAGTGAATTCAAGTGAAAACGAACTCGACTGACACGCCCTTAGGGTTTTGTACACAAGAGAGACAGATGTGTTGCACCACGCGCCGCGTCACCCGCAAGTCTTACTGCATCATGTTACTCATGAGAGCTGTCCTCTCTCTGCACTGTTGGGTCGAGCGAGCGGCGTTGCGATGCGGCCATGCATCATGCAAGCCGTGGCGAGACTCGCCACGGCTTGCATGATGCATGGCCGCATCGCAACGCCGCTCGCTCGACCCAACAGTGCAGAGAGAGGACAGCTCTCATGAGTAACATGATGCAGTAAGACTTGCGGGTGACGCGGCGCGTGGTGCAACACATCTGTCTCTCTTGTGTACAAAACCCTAAGGGCGTGTCAGTCGAGTTCGTTTTCACTTGAATTCACTCTGCTAAGGTAAGATGCGATGTATGTTCTAAACAGCTAATGTTTGGGTATGTTGAGCTAAAACGAACCCACGCCCTACGGTAGATTTGATTGATGGGAACCAATAATCATTTACACACCACCCACATTCACCATGTCGCTCACATTTGTCATCGTCCGCGTTTGCTCGTCTGAAGCACCCTCGAGATAAAAACAGTACGTCGGTGTCAATATTTGCGACGGCTTGTTTCAATGTTCGTCGTACCACCATGGGCTTTATAATCTAAAAAAAACAGGTTTCAACTTTCACCCCAGCACCTTCCACTGCAAGCATATATTTCAGCAGCTCTGTCCGCATTCCCTGCAGACTCAGCATACCGCTGCTTCGGCCACACACCTCCTGCTCTCGTCAACGCCTCCCCGCATGGCCTTAACCATCACACGCCGGCACCATTTGTCCCAAGAGCCATGCCATGCCTCGCACCATGAACAGCCCTCCCTCTCCCACTGTAGTCCCTTCCACGTCATACATAAAGCTCAGCAGCTCCGTTCCCATGCTCTGCCGGCACAGCACTCCACTGCTTTGCCCACACGGCGCCTGCCCTCAGCAGAGCCTCCCTCACAGCCTTACCCCCCTCCTCAACTCCTGCTGCTGCTGCTGCTGCTGTCTGTTGTCCTGCTCCCCTACCCGCTTCGGCACCACCAGCAGCACACGCAGTCACGAGTTCCCCCATGACCCATGCCATGCCTCGCACGGTACCTGGGGAGCTGCCACTCCAGTGGCGGTCCACGAATGAGAGCGCGACAGCTGGCAGCTGCCGGGGTTGACACTGCACAAGGGGCGAAAGAATCAGGGAATGTGCAAGAAAAGACGAGGGAGTTGGTGGGAGAGAGGAGTTCGGGGAGTGGGAGTGAGGAATGTGGGGAACGAGAGGGGGAGGATGAAAATGTGAGATCAGACTCTAGATTCGACCCATGCTTTTGTGTTTCTTCATGTCCTTCTATTCCAGCACAGTTGCAAAAGAGGAGCGTAGGTTGGAAAAGTCTAGGACATCGACATATTCTGGTTGGTCGATCAATATATTATGGCAAACGCCAAACGCCCGTAACAATGGACAGCATATGCATGGCAAAGGCGGGACAGCGCATGCAGATGGGAAAGGGTGAGGTGCAATTGTGGGCAACGCATGAGAGAGAAGTAAGGCAGAGAGAGGGAACTGGAGACAGAGAGCACACAAAGGGAGGAGGAAGAACAAGCATGCACGAAAAGGAGAGGATACGGAAGAGGCTGAGGGGGCCATACATGGGAGAGGAGAGCCGCAGGGAGGCCATCAATGAGGCTGCCGGATGGGAGAAAGGCGATGGCTGGGAGAGGAGCGACGGCTGCGAATGGTGATGCATGAGTGGAACAAGTGCATCGGAGTGAGGGGCAGAAAGAGGGTGAAAGTGGGGCACACATGGGAGAGGATAGCAGCGGGTGTTTTGACTTGTTTTCAATATCGGACCAGAAGCAGAGCAAAGAGGCAGCGGCATGTGGAATGGGGACAATCAAAAGAGCTGATT